TTCCTCTCTCTCTCTCTTCCTCTCTGTGTCAATCCTGCCCCTGAAACATGCACACATCAGAACCAAAACCATGCATGCACCCCCTCCACCGCACCTCCTCGTGATCAAAGCAGGCCAGGCTGCGGACCGCCACCTCATCATCCAGCGAGTCATCGCCACGCACTGAGTCACACAGGGCCTGGGAGTGCACACATGTGTGTGCATGCGTGTTTGTGTTTGTGAGCATGCATATGTGCATGTGTGATTGTGTGTGAGTGTGTAGTTGTGTGTGTGCATATGTGTGTGAGTGAAGTGCGTGCGTATGATGAGCGAGCGAGCGTGCGTGTGTGCGTGTGTGTGCTGGCCCAGCGTCATGAGCGGTCCCAACCACGCGTGCATATGCACATGCATGCACACGTCCACGTAAGCCGCACCGCACCGTACCCCGTCCCCTCCCCTTCGCCCACCTCGATTGCCGTGTAGCAGGACGCCAAATTATCCAGCCGCCCCACAAACACAAACTCCTCCGCCGCGCCCCCCAGCACCCCCGGCTGCACGTCGCACACGTTCAGCTCGAAATCCACCACGTCGTTCGGGCTGCACCCCAGCTCGTCGGCGACGAGCTGCATGAACAGCGCGTGGTGCTTCGCCGCGACCGACCCGTCCGCGCCCGCGGCGCCGTTGGTCGCGGGGTCGCCGGCGGCGGCGGCGCCGTCGGGCGAGGCCGCGGCGGCGCTCGCGCCGGCGACGGCGGAGGGGGTGACGGGGGCGGCGGCGGCGGCGGCGGCGGCGGCCTTGCCGGAGGTGGCCAGCAGGGGCATCAGGTTGGTCTGGAAGTTGGGCTTGAAGCCCTCCTGGTACATGTTTCTCTGGGGGCGGGACGGACCAGGGTGGCGCGAGGGTCAAGGCATGAGGTCAGACAGGGCCCCTGGGCCGGGTCGTTGACACTCCGACTCAAACCAGTACACCAACCCGTGATCAACGTTCAGCAAGGTGGCTGTTGGGTAGCCAAAGGAACGTCGCAGGGGCTCGGAGTGAGGTGTCGGGTGAAGTGGAGGATCCCCCTCTGGCCCAAAAGCTCTTGTGCAACGCCTGGAGCCGCGAGGCTGCTTCAGCACGAAGCACAGGGAGCCCACTCTATGCATCTGCCGCGCCAGCTTCGCCCCGGCGTGTGTGCTTGCAGGCCCTGCTGACGTCATCGACCGTCACCCCCACCTGGAGGTGTATCGCCAGCATGGGAATCCTCAGCACCGGCTTAGTCACCTTGATGAGCCTGAGGGGTGAGTGATGTAAAGGGTGCAGGTCAAGGTCACACAAAGGCCGGCTGACACGCAACGCGTCCCTATGAGCAGCAGGAGCAGACTGAGCTAGGACGCCTGCTGCCACGGAGACTCGCTCGCCGCAAACGAGCCCGCCTGCCGAGTTGGAGGAGGCCGGCCGCCGCGCCCCGCAAGCGATCCCCGCGGCCCGCCTTCTCGCTCACGTGCGAAGGTCTGCGCCGCGCACCTGTGCACCAGTCTGTCGCCCTCCCGCACCAGCGCGCGGCCCGCGACCCCCAGGTCTCGGTCAAACCAGGTGTACCAAAGGCCGCCGCCGTATGTCTCGACATTGATGAGCTGGCAGCCCCCGCCGGTGGCCTTGGACACGGGCTTGACCTGTTTCGATAAGAAGAAGGGGCGGGGACAAGTTGGGGGAGGGAGGTCCGGGGAGGGCGGCGCGTGTGCTGTTTTGGTGTGCGCGGGAGGAGGCATGCGCGCATGCGTTCGCGGTTCGGCGCACGCAGGACCAACTCGGGTCAGCGGCGGGTGCCATTCGCGATTGTGATTCAGCTCAATGCTGCAACACATTGCTGATGCCTATGGACGCGTGCATCCCACCCCCGGCCCCCAAAACCCCGAAACCCTCCATGGCCCACTTTGAGGCAAGGGGAGTCTGTGTGGGCCCCAATCATGTAGAACGGGTTCCCTGGGCTGTACTTCTTGCCCACGGCGAAGGCCACGATGGTGGACATGTTGCGTGTGAAGTAGTACTTGCCGCCTGGGGGTTGCATGCGCGCATGCATGCATGCGTGCACAGGCATGCGAGCATGCGTCAGCGATGCGCGGCTCCGCTGCCAGGTCTCAAGGGTGCAAAGAGGGCCGGCCCTGCCGGTGCCATGCAGCGGGCGCGCAGCCTGAGTGACGCCCCGGCTGTTCCCACCAACTTGCTTGCGGGCGAAGCACGCGTGCTGCATGCGGCCGCGGTGGCCCACCGGGTTGGAGGTCCCAGGCATCCTTCTCAGCAATGTGCTGGAACCCCGCCGCCGCCAGCCGCTTTGCAGACTCCTCGACTGCATGGTATGGCGTCCACGCCGCGTTGATAAACTCCAGCATGTCAAGGGCACGCGCCTTGGCGACGGCCGCGTCGATCTTGGCCATGCTGGCTTGCTGTTGCTGCTGTTGTCCTGCAACGGCGCAGGTGGTGGTGCCGCTGGAGCGGCGCGAGGGCAGACGGCTCTGCGGGGCGTACAGCGCGGGCGTCACAACGAATGTGCAATTGAATGTGAGTGATCGGTGTATACGTCAAGCGGCGAGTTAGTCCAAGTAAGATCGTAGCTCGCAGATCACAAAGCTGATATGCTATATAGGCCGTGGAACCTCACCAGAATACCAATACGACGTAATCCAGCACCCACGCCAGATACTAGGCGGGCCTGGCCAGGTCTGAGCAGCATGCGACACTGCAGCACCTGCCAGTGCAATGGCAATGGGAACAATGATGTATCAAGCGGATTTGCTGAGCAGGTCGTGCGCGAATGAAATGGGACTGAAGTCGTCGCAGGCGCAAGGGGCCCTCTTGATGGCGACACACTCCCCGGCGGCCTGGTTTCAATCATTCAAGTGGCCCGGCACACACGCGGCGACTGTGGGCGTTGGGCACACAGTCGCCGCATTGGCTGGGACTGCACATGCCATTACGCACTACGCAAAGGTATACAGTAGATGACGTCGCAGCGATCCATTCAAGCAAAGCTTGGAGTCAAATTACTCCATGTCGGTCAATGACATGACCGCGAGGACCTCGTGCACGCATTTGCTGCTGTGCGGCTGATTCCTGTGATGGTGTGGTGCATACGCCAAATGCACAACACAGCAACTAGAAAATTTTGGAAATCTGCAATAATTCCAAAACATCTGATAAGCTACCATGAGCCGGTACTGTGGC